CTTTGACATACCCCCTGGAGAAGTGAAAGTACTATACTACCCTTACATGCAATTTTTGGCCAAATTGCATTCAGCATTTCTGGTCCTGCATTTATAATTTCCGCTGATTTATTTATTATTATTATTATTTTTTTTTTAAATAATAATAAACCTATTTGTTATATATATATATATATATATATATATATATATATATATATATATATATATATATATATTTTAAATAATTTTTTTTTAATTTTTAATTTTTTAATTTTTTAATTTTTTAATTTTTTTTAATTTTCAAAACAATATGTTTACTGTACTGAAAATAACTACATGTAACTATAGTACCTACAGTTATTCGTAGTTATGTTCGTTTCTTTTCCCCATATTTTTAGTCGATCAATTGTACACACACACGAATACTGGCTTATTCAAAAGAAATTCATAAACCCCAACAAAAATTTACAAATTTTAATATTTTTATTATAAATCACCTCAGAACCAATAAAAATACAAAATCGAAAATACACACATATATGCATATGTAACTACATGTTACTATATGTATAGTAATGTATAGTAATGTATACAGTTTGTTGAACACTGCTTCACATGTAACTTCAACCAAATTTTTGACACCTTCAAGGAGAGGATCAGTGGCTTTCATTAAGCTGCAATTACAAAATCAAAACAAAAAAAAAAAAAATTACTTTAGTGCAAATCAACAAAATTTGAAGAAACATCAAAACACTCAAAAATCAAAAAACACTAAGAGATCGAGAAATAGTTGGGTTTGCTTCTACCGAGGCAATGTTCAGGAGAGAGAGAGATTATTGCGGGAAAATGCTATATATTTTAAATCAAACAGACAATGACTCCCCACCCCCCTCGCCTCCTACAAAAATCCTAGGCGCTGCTAATAACCACCCACGGTTCCGCGCGCCCACAAATGCAAAAAAATATAGAAATAAATCTGAAAACATAAAAAAAAATGAAATTACCATCAAAATATAGATCTCGACGAGAGGAATCCAACGGTGGGTAGCTCGTCATATTTCGACTGGTGGAACACAAAAAACACCTCCGGCAAGACCACCGTCGTCGAAGGAAAAATTGCAGAAACAGATCTGCGCTCCAAATTGAATGAAATCACCACCAAAAGAAAGAGCTCGACGAGAGGAATCCAACGGTAGTTAAACCATCGAATTCCGACCACCGGAGAGAGAGTTATGACTCCGGAAAGCAATTTCGCCGGTGGGAGGTTTGTGGAGGCGAGATTTTGAATCTGGGAGAAGAAGAGAGAGACCGAAATGTGAGTGGCTAGGATCTAAAACTGATTATAAAAGGGTACTATAGGTACTTCAGGGTGGTCCAGGGGGTATGTCAAAATATTTTCGAATGAATCTGGGAGAAGAAGAGAGAGACCGAAATGTGAGTGACTAGGATCTAAAACTGATTTTAAAATGGTATTATAGGTACTTCAGGGTGGTCCAGGGGGTATGTCAAAATATTTTCGAAATGAAGGGTAATCCACTTAGTAGTTAGTTCTATATAATTTGAAAATGAGGGGTCTACAAAATAATACCTTAAATAATATTCCATTAATTCTCTACTGATTAATTAATTAATTAATTATTAAGACATTCATTAGATTAGATCTTGTATTAAATATTTGCCGTTTTTTCATATTTAGCGTTTGATAGATGGGGGTAAATTACGAAATTCTCCCAATTTGGATAAATGAAATAAAGTAACAATAAATGAAGCAACCATATATATATAATTGGAGTGGATGGGTAGCCCATTGGGAGGCAATGACAACCCATACCCCCCTAAACAGAAGAATATGTCAGAAAAGTTTTGACCTACATTGTACAATTTATGGGTATTTTGGGTATTTACTTGAAACTTGTCGGCTGTATACAAATCAAAGCCCATTCCCCTATGGCAGGTAAAGTAGTAGCAGCACAAGGTCAGTCACTATTTTTTGAAAGTTACTGCAATTATTTTTTTAAGACTATGTAAAAATTGGGTAAATTTAAGATGATTTCGGTCAAAAAAAATAAAATTAAAGTAAAGTATTAGTAAAACATTATTCAATTATCTAATTATACATTTAAACAAAGTATTTGTCAAATATCACTTCATAAAAGTCGCTTTCAATTGGGTAGCCTTCAATTTGGACCAATGAAGACGAATCATTTTGATATTATTTGAACAGATCTTTGCTAATTTTAATTCTAAAATTATGACCAAAAAGATTAATTTTCGTTTTAATTTATTTTTAGAAATTGATATACTGTTCATATTTCGTAATCAATGGGTGGAAGTCGTCCACACGTGTCTCTAAGGTCAACGAAAGGTGGCAAAGTCGTAATTGTTTTTCCTTGGAAATATATGTTGTATTTTCGTAATTGAAATTAATTATCTTTATTACATTACATACACCCACATATATGTATTATATTTGGGTTAATGAGACAAAACCCCCTCATTAAGAAAAATATTAGAACTAACCACCCCTCATTATTTTTAATAAGTCAAACCCCCTCCATTAGTGTCATACCAATACTACCCTTACATTTTGTATTAGAAATCAGCCCCCCCACCATCTCTACCTAAACTACGGGATTCATATCAAATATTCATGGGAAAAAAATCTCTCCCCCCTAAATCACGGCAATATGTAGAATATCATCCCAATAATTCGCTAAAATCTGCCCATGATCTATGGCCTTCGGTGGAACCCTAGTTTTCTTCATTTGTTGGAAAAAAATTCACAAACGTGTGAATCGGGGAGAAGCAGACACAAAAACATGGTGAAATCAAAAAAATCGAATAAAGGTAGGCTGCTATGAAATCCGTTTTTCCTACAACATATAATTAGATTTCTCTGTTTTATGTCATAATACGACATATTTCCATTTTTTTTTTTGTTTTCAATTTCAGCGGCTATGAAGACTGCAAAAATGGTTGATTATTCAAAAATGGAGTTTGTAAACAAGCTTGTTTTTTAGATCTACATATCTATGGTCGCACTATTTGTTGACTCATAAATATTTGTTTCGTATGAAATTTGTTTTATCAGAGTCCACAACAAAGAAGAGATCATTGTTGTCGAAAAACTTAAAAAATTACGGTCATACACTCAGAGTTAACTATAAAATCGGATAGTTCACTGTATTTTTTCCAGAGTCAACTATAAAAATTAGATAGTTAACTATAATTTTTACGATGTCAACTATAAAAAAATGGTAGTTAACTATATTGTTGCCAGAGTCAACTATAAAATCGGATAGTTCACTATATTTTTTCCAGAGTCAACTATAAAAATTAGATAGTTAACTATAATTTTTACGATGTCAACTATAAAAAATTGGTAGTTAACTATATTGTTGCCAGAGTTCTACAAAACTTGGATAGTCAACTACAATTGTTCCGATGTCAACTATAAAAAATTGGTAATCAACTATAGTTTTCCATTAATTCACTATATTATATTTCAATTTAAGATACTATGGTGTTATAAAATGAGATGAGATGTAGAAGAAAAGATAAAGTATTGAGAAGATATAGAGAAACTAAAGAGAAAAAATGAAACAAACGAGAATAGAGGAAATGAGGGAAGAGAAATGAGAGAGAGAGAAGAGAGAGAGAGGAGAGAGAAGAGAGGAAATTGTGGAAGAGAGAGAATAGAGAGAAGATAGGAGAGATGAGAGAGAAGAGAGGAAATTGTGGAAGAGAGAGAAGAGAGAGAATAGATGAGAGAGGAGAGAGAAGAGAGGAAATTGTGGAAGAGAGAGAAGAGAGGAGAGAGTAGAGAGAAGAAAAATAATAAATGACAACACGTCAAAAAGGACGGTTGAGAAGAGAGGGGGGGGAGAGAGAAAGAGTGGGGGAAGAAAGGACAAAATTGGAATAATAAACACGTGAGGGGGGTCTCACAATTCCTAATGTTAATTTTAGATTTCTTTACAAATGGTAAATATTAAAATGGGCCTGGACTCTATTATTTTGTGTATTGAGGGGGTTATCCCTCATTTTCCCTTATATTTATATCTCCTATAAAAGTAACTTAGAAGTAAATCGTAAAATAGCACGTACCTTAAAAATATGAGTTATATACAATTTAATTAAATAAATTCTTATTAACGAGCAAATTTAAACGAGATTAAGGATCTTAATGGGCTTGTATTACTAAAATTAATGGAATTGGTGCATTAAATTAATTATTTGCATACAAATTGCATTTTGGGCCATCTTTTAGATGGTAAACTATAGAGAATAATTGGTGGGTCTATTGGGACGATCCGATAAATTTAGTAAATATTTAATATTAAATTATTGTATGATAAGTATATTTTTACCGAATACCAATTATATTTAGGTATCTTACTTAAACTAAGTTACAAACAAAATCTAGGAAATTTATGGGGACGATTAATTACCTAAAATAGATTTTACATATTTTTTTTATTGGGATCATCTTATAAATATGTCTAGATACTCCCCATGCAACAATTAATATTAATTCATAACGATTATGGAAAAACTCTTGTGTGTGCGTAATTACAATCATTTCCTTCAACCATGAATCTTTTTAATCGTCAATCTTTATGGTGTCAAATTCAAGATTTTTTCATATTATGTGGAATATTTTTTAACTTGTACCCGTTTTGTGCAAAAATGCAGTTTCTGATGCACCACAGTCAGATATTTACAAGCCGTGAGACACATCTTATGATAATTTTGTTTCAGCATGTAGAGTTCGAATGAAATAAATAAAAACGGGTTTAAACTGTAGAATATCCCACATAATTTAAAACATTCCACTAAATTTGACACGACAAAGACGATCGTAAAAGAAAATTCATAGTTGATTGACGTTTGAAATTACCAAAACATGAGGGGGGTTTCGTAATTTGATGTATTGTAATTACTGAAAAATTTAAATTAAAAAAAAAAATCATTTAAAATATTCATTTTTTTTTTTTACCGTATTTGGCGAAATGCAAAAGAATTCAAACACGAAAAGTTGCAACTTTTAATAGCAACTTTAGGGAAAAAATACTTTCGTAAAATTCCTAAAATAGAGAAGAAAAAAAAATTGAGGGGAGTAAAATTGGGGCATAATTACACATAGTACTGTGTGGTACACACACACACACAAACGGGGTTCGAAATCTCGTTTCTCGGGCCACCCGTTCACGGATATCAAGGATTTTCTGCCCCCCTTTCTTTTTTTTTTTAATTTATTTTTTCCATTTTGGTTTCTCCTTGTTTGTACTGTTGAATCCCATAGCTTTTCATTAACTATCATAATTCCTCTCTCTCTCGCTTTCCCCCAATTTCATTTTTCAATCATTTTTTTTAATGGTCAGTGTTCTTCTTTGCTATCTTCCCAGAGAGCCGAACCACTCGATCTCTCTGCTTCAATTCGATCCCATTAAACTCAATCTAATCCATGTGAGCAAATTTTTCCCCTCCCCCTAAATTTTTCATCTTTTTTTTTTTCTGTTTCTCATTGTCAATTATGTCGATTTTTTCATGATAAAAAATATATTTTTATTTTCTCCATCCGTAGGTTGAATTTATGATGATTTGTTTGTGGTTGAGTGGGTGAAAGTTCGTTACCTTGGTTAATGGGGTTTCGTTTGCATTTGCGTTGTGGTTTCTAGGCAATGGTGGTAATTAAATTTGCATTTTTTAATTTTTTTAATCTTATCGTGGGAAGTTATTTATTTGGGAGACCAGGTTCAATGGGTGTAGATTGGGATCCATGCTGGATCTATTGTTTAATTTTTTAATTTTTTTTCAATTAGTTATTAATTAATTACCATTTATCAAATATTTGTTTTATGTTCTTGCTGGACTGGGACCTTATTTGTTTATTTATAGTTGTTCTGAAATACCTTCTTGGTTGTGGTGCTGTGTGTTTTGTTTAGTCAGTTACTTTTTTATCACTTAATTGTCTTCTCTTTGTTGTTTAAAAAAAGGTTTTAAATTGGAAGACAACAAGCACATTGCCCAGGGTTTAAAAACCAAGAAATTAAAGAAAAGAAAATTCGAAAAGTTGTATTCTTGCAAAGGGGTTTCTCTGTATGGCTTGAACTCTGCAAAATGATGGAAAGCTTCGTCGAAGACGAAGAATCTCGATTTTTTGATGCCATGGAGCACATAGCACAAGAAGAAGCTGATCTGGCGTCCGATTGCCCTTCTACTGAAAATTGGGAATACGATGTGTGGATTAGCATTCATCAAAGCGTTAGAGAGCGCCGAAGGAAATTCATTAAGTGGATGGAATCGTCAAATCCCGATGGGCAAGAAGGAGAAAGAAATTCCGTAGATTTTGGTAGAATTATGGAGAACAATGAAGCTGTGCTGAGATCCTCGAGTATCGAAGATGACTTGTCTTCTAGCCACTCTTCTTTGTCTAGTTGGAATACCGAGGATTTGGATTCGTCCAAACGAGTTAGTTTCAACGAGGGTCCAAACGAGAGGCTAAGAAAAATTCGAATCAATGGATGTGACCAAGTGCAGTCATCAGCTGAATTCGGGGATGTTTCTCAATTTCCTCCTGCAGTTCGGCGGTTTGCAGAGAGAGAAACCGAGGCTAATTGTTACACACCTCGAACGATGGATAAACTGAAGGCGAAGTGCCTGAATAAATGGCGCTCCATCACTTGTATGACTAGCAGGAATGTGAAAGACGATAATGTGGGATTCAACAGTTTCAGCCGTGCTCATGGGACAAAGATCCACAGAGTAATGGTTCGCCATTGTCGAAGAAAGTTAAAGGAACTTTCTGCCCTTTTTACTGGACAAGATATCCAAGCACACGAGGGTTCAATCTTGACAATGAAATTTAGTCACGACGGACAATATCTTGCAAGTGCTGGTGAAGATAAGATTGTCAAAATCTGGCAAGTTGTGGAAGATGAAAGATCCGACAGAATGGACATTCCAGATGCAGATCCTTCGTGTGTTTACTTCTCGGTCAACCATCTATCGGAATTAGGACCGCTCATGGTGGAGAAGGATAAAATTGTTAATAAATCAAAGGGTCTGAAGAAAACACAAGATTCGGCCTGTATTATCTTTCCTCCAAGGGTTTTCAGAATTCTAGAGAAGCCGTTGAACGTTTTCGAAGGGCACAGTGAGGAGATCTTGGACCTTTCGTGGTCGAAGAATAATGTACGTGGATTTTTTCTTACGTCTTTGTTCTTAATATGTTCTTTTTTATTTGATTCTATTGAAGTAAAATGACATGTTTTCTTGTTTTCCTGTAGTGTTTGCTTTCGTCGTCAGTTGATAAAACTGTTCGTTTGTGGAAGGTCGGAGTTGATCATTGCCTGAAGGTCTTCTCACATACTGATTATGGTATGTATGCCTGGACAAAAGAAAAATTAATACTAAATTCAATTTTAATGTTGCTGATTCTATAGGCTAAAAAAAAACACCTCTAATGATGTGCAGTGACCTGCATTCAGTTTAACCCTGTGAACGATGATTACTTCATCAGTGGTTCAATAGATGGGAAGATTCGGATTTGGACAATAAGTGGTTGTCAAGTTATTGACTGGACAGAAACGAGGGACATAATCACTGCCGTTTCTTATCGACCTGATGGACAGGTCTGTTGATACTCTACCCTAAACATGTTATTACATACAGCTTTTTTTCTTTTTCTTTTTTTTTTAGAGGCATATTAACAATGTCTTCATTTGGTTGTGACAGAGTGGGATTATTGGCTCCATTGCAGGCACCTGTCGGTTTTTTAACATATCAGGTAATTCTTTATGGAATTCGTTGACATTTCTTTGTTTTTCTAGTTACCATTTGGTTCAAACTCGCTCTAGATTTTACTGATCAACGTTGGTTGTTCAAGAGCAAGTTTCTAGTCATTTTTAGCCTGTTCGTTATAGATTAAATTTTAAATGTGCGTTTACTTATAGATGCCCATGTTTGTATTCGTTTATCAGATAATCACTTCCAGTTGGAAACTGAGATGTGCTTGACCAGTAAAAAGAAGTCGCCCTGCAAAAGGATAACCGGCTTCCAGGTTATTACTGCCAACCAACTACTAAAGATTTCTCCGCTTGTGTTCGATGCAAAGATTCTCTAACTGTTTTTTTTTTTTTTTTGTGGATTCAGTTTTTACCACAAGACCCAAGCAAAGTTTTGGTTACTTGTGCTGATTCACAAGTCAGAGTCATAGATGGGGTGAATGTTATTGGCAAGTACAAAGGTATAATAATAATAATACACTTGATTCTTGAACTTTGTTCGCCTAAGGACATGTTTTTTATTTTCTTTCTAAATTTTCCATAACTCAGTCGTTGATTTCTCTATTGTTGGCCAGGCCTTCGAAATGCAGGCAACCAAATTTCTGCATCATTTACATCAGACGGAAAGCACATAGTCTCCACATCCGAGGACTCAAATGTATACATGTGGAACTATATCGACCAAAGAGAGTCAACTTTCTCACAGCCAAAAGTCAACAGATCATTCGAGTGTTTCTCCTCCGACGCCTCTGTTGCAGTACCATGGTCCGGTTTGAAATCCAGCGCTCTCCACAAAAGCTCGATCAACCCACTGCCGTTCTCATCCTCCACTTGTTTCTCACTAAGCCAAGAGTTTCTCTTAGACTCCAACTCCAAGGGTTCCGCCACTTGGCCGGAGGAAAAGCTCTCAACATCTCCGATCATGGGCAAATCTCAGTTCAAGCTTTTCAAGACTTCTTGCCAGAGCTCATCGAATTCTCACGCATGGGGCCTCGTGATCGTGACAGCTGGCTGGGATGGACGGATCAGATCGTTTCACAATTATGGGTTACCGGTGCCACTTTAAAGACAATGGTGAAAGAAAAAAAAACCCGGATAATGACCGCTATGGGACCTTTTTTTCGATAAGCTGGCAAAAGTAAAAAATAAAAGCTAGTTTTGGCAGGTATTGAAGATGGTGCTGGCACAGGACCCCCCCACCCCAAACCATTAATTTGCCTACACAATTGGGAGAGATCACTTAGCATTGACTCGAGTTTGGAAGGCTGAAATACAGCTGGCGGGAGTAAATGATTAAAGAATTAGCCGAGGTTTTATCCTTACACGCAAAAATCTTTGATTAAGTTATGATTCTTTTGAGAAGTTTATATCCAGATGCTGGCATGGGGAAAATATAAAGAAATGTTTGAGAGGGGTCTTCAATTACAGATTGATGGATTTCGTCGTGGGACCCCCCTTGTATGATTTCTTCTAGTCTCTTCCATTTATTGATCGATGTGGGACTTGTTAGAGGGGAAAGGCTGGTGGTCTGAAATTGTTTGAAGGAAAGTGGTGGGGAGAAATGTGACTTCTTTATTGTCTGAATGATTGAGTTATTTTTGTCTGCCATTTTGGTCCTGGAAGGGGGGCTGTGAGAGGGGCTGGACGAGGGGCTGGTCGTCTCGTATTTTTATTATATAACATTGATTACTAACTTAGGTAAACTAACATAAAATTTACCGTGTCTCCGTCGAAAATCTTCGGTGAAAGTAGCAGTTGGACGAAGATTTCAGGTCGGTGCTTTTTATATTGTGTCTGGTAGGTCGGTGCTTTTTATATTGTGTCTGGTCATCAAGGTGAAGTTGCAACTGGAATCAAGAATCGAGAGTGATGATGAAAATTTTGTTCTTTTATATGTATGTATGTATGTATGAGTGTATGTATATTTTAGTTTAGCGCAGGATTGACTAGTTTTTTCGGTGTATATTATCTTGCACAAATTCCACAATTCGACAGAAGTAAGAGTCGGTACCAACTGCTGCTACTTGGTACCAGTACTGAACTTGTACATCTGTGCATTATCTGTTCTTGTATTATATATTATTGATCGATGATTCATTTGCTTTTGATACAGCTGTTTCTTCTTTTGTGTCTTCTTCATTTAGAACATCTATGTATGATTATATAAATTAAAAGTGAAAAAAATACTCAAACATATTTCACAAAGTGTAGCATCTAAACAAGCCCTTGAATTGATAAAACAACAGCCAGGATGAATGTTTATGGTTTCGGTGTTGCTTCAATATTTTTAATATTTAATGATTATATTAAAGTCAAATTATCCGAAAGATTCCTCGGGAATTGTTTTAGGCACTGTGCCCTCAAAACACGAATGCAATAAAACTCGGGCAGGAGAAAGAAAGTAACATCAATAAGCACAAGTAAACGCCGGTCAACCACACAGCAGTAAATACTTTTCAAATATACAACAATTAACAGTACAATCGAATAAAAAACGATGAAAATGAACAAACACCGCCTGTACGTCTCTTCCACATGCCCGCAATCCAGACTTCAACGATATTACACATTGTTAACAAGAAGCCCTGAAATGACAAGAAAATGTTGGCTTCAGTATCTTATTCTCCTAACTGCTTCATAACAAAACAATTCAACATATTTCAACGTCTGTGCTCATGTGCAAGCGTTGATAAATCAGTACATGATACATCATATTCAATCAAAAACCATAAAGATTGAGCACTGTTGACTTAGACACGTTACAACCGTGTATAGAAACAATTCAGACTTTTAGATATTCGTCTTCAACCTTTAATACTTGCACAGAAGCATCCAAAGTGCATAGTCATTCATATGGTTGCTTTCATTTATCATATCTACACTTTGATCTTCGGATTACAAAATCATCGTAATTACATGTTAAATAAAAACTTAGCTAAGAGACAGGAATTCATGCTAAACCGATGTTTGCCACTATTCTGATTACATGTGGGGAGAGCTTCGCGGTTCAAAGCCCTCCGCGTGCCATTAAATAAAATAACAGTGGATTAATAAGAACTAACCACATCGTGCGTTTAGGAAAAATAATGTACTTGATATGAAGAGTTATAATGGCAAATCATCATGAATGAAGATGCCAGTGACGATCATAAGGCTTCATTAAGATATTTTACAGGACTTAACGAAAAGGTTCATAAGTTTAATATATACAACCAAACTCCCTTATTCCCTCGTTTAGGGTTACATATATACCCGGATTCAAAACGGACACTAATTTGTTCTTCCTTATCGGTCTATAATTGGTTATACGTTTCCCCAGTATGTATTCCCTGCAAAAAGTTGGAGGAAATCACCAGTGGCTATGTTCACATTTTAGTTTCTTATTTTGTTCGAAGTGTTCTCGTTTTTCGTTTGGAAGCATGCTAGAATCAACATCCCCAGTAAAATAAAAACACAATTCTACTGAGGTTTACACATTTCGAGACTATGAAAGTATCCAGAATTACATTCCTAAAAGCGGTCACAATACATATTTAGAAGTTCTTAAAAAGCGGTAACCATTTTTCGATAGTCAGCAGTGCTCATTGGGACATTAACATAAATCAGTAGTGTTACTATGCACATAATCCCTTTCACCATCAGTAAATATCTACCGTGTCATCAAGCAACAATATAGTCTTGGAATTTGTAAATGGGGGCAAACGTTAGCTGAAAACGAATCTTAATTTCTGGCCACATGATACATAGTTACTTGATTATGCTGCCACCACATTTGTGAGGAGTAGAGACGAAATTTTTTGCTAGCATAAAATCCCTAATGGGGTGCCTGGGTTTTAGGAGGCATTTTTCGAAATTATCTTCCCCAAGCAGACTCCTCATTCCATACAATTTCTTTGTAAACAATTCTAAGATAACTACAAACATCAGTTATAGATCAACGGTTATCATGGAAGATCATTCAACAAAAAGTTTTAAAGTAAACTGCAATCAGCTGAATAAAAAAGCATGCACAAAAATATTATTAGAAAAACATCGTCTAATACAACCATGCTCTACAATGAGAAAAAAAATCAAATCAAATCTAATTCCCATACGAAATCACAGAATCAACTAAAAAAAAAAAAAAACAACAGAAACAAAGAGGATCAATCAGATAAATAAAACTACACATAATTACTGGTGTAAATGAACAAAAGGTTATTGTTTACCGATAATCAAGGGATGAACCATCACGATCCAAATCAGACGGGTAGATTTTCAACAGCGGAGGAAGAATTGTTGAAATTGACATTATGATTCCCCGCATAGGAAGAAGAAGAGGCGGTGGAATTGACGGAGGGGAAAGATGTGAGCATCAGAGGACGATCCTTGGCCTCTTCGTCGTCGTCTTCGGTGTCGAAGGTGGTGAGGTTGACGCAGGAGCACCGCTCCAGGGAAGCGAAAAACGCCGACGCGACGCTCATACCCACCCACCGCGCGAGGCCGTCCACTTTTTCGTAGTACGTAGATTCGTTTGAATTCTCCATTGCTATTCTTTTTTTCTTCTTCCGATGGGTCTGAATTTTTGTTGATTTTTGGAAAGAGGAATTTGCCGGAATTAGGGTTATCTGACCTTTTCGCCTTTGTGTTAATTTATTAGAGGATTAAATATTTATACATCTGGCCGGCGAGTGGAACACATCAACACACACCGGTTTAAGATTGTATTTAACTCTTTAATTAAATAATTTTCTTACTATAGCTCCTTGTTAGTAATTTTTATCCTATATTTTATTTGGATATTTATCGAATGCATTATTATTAAATTAAACTATTATTTAGATTATTAAATAACTGTATTCAAAATATAACACACAAGCGCATCTGGTGTAGTGGTATCATAGTACCCTCCCACGGTACTGACCAGGGTTCGATTCCCTGGATGCGCAATAATTTTTTATTATTATTTTGCACCATGTATGAAATTCGGGCCTTATCTTAAATACACTTCTCCGTTTTATCAAAAGCCCAATCTAATTCGGGCCTTTAAATTTCCTTTTCCCTCTTTCCAAAAAGCCCAATTTAATCCGGGCCTTAGCTTAAATCCTCTCTGTAATCAAAAGCAGAATCGAATCCTCACTGCAAAGAACAGCAGGAACACAACCGCAGGTAATACCGCCTAACTCAGTTGGAAACACTACTGTAGAATCTGCTACTCTGCTTCTAACGGAGGCGCTCTCTGTTCTTCGTCTTCCTCCGTCGCTTCTGCCGGCAATTAAATCTTTCACTTCATTCTATTTTAGAAAACAAAATTCGTTCTCATGTAAGCGTACATGTAATAGTCTTAATTCTCTGATTTTTGTTCCTTGATTGATAAAAAGCCTCTGTTCATTTTGTTTTCTCTCTCTAATTTCTGCTGCTACCGTAACGCCGGTAGGGTTCCGTTTCGAATTGGCGTCTTTTGGTGTAATTTTTATCTAGTTTTTGTTTTCGGTGTTATCTGAATTGATGGCTGACTGGCATCAACTCCTTCAATCGGTGTTCATCGGCTTGATTTTCTCATTCCTGCTCGCGAAGCTATTCTCCGTAATCTTCGCCTTCCGTGACGAGAATCTCCGAATCACGCGCGCTCATTCTCCCGAACGCACAGCCGAGGAGAGATCTGTAGATTCGTCGTCGTCTAGGTTTTCTGAAGAAAACGAGCCGTTAATTGGCGGAAACAAATCTGATGACGGAAGCGAGGTGATTAGCGATCACAGTGACAGTGATGATGATTGGGAGGGCGTAGAGAGCACTGAGTTGGATGAAATATTTAGTGCTGCGACTGCTTTTGTTGCCGCAACAGCTGCTGATCGGGCCGGGCTCAAGGTGTCGAGTGATGTGCAGTTGCAGCTTTACGGGCTGTATAAGATTGCGACTGAGGGACCCTGTACTGCCCCACAGCCCTCTGCTCTGAAAATGACTGCTCGTGCCAAATGGTAAATTTTGAGTAATTTATGCACAATTTCAATATCGCAATTTAGTTTGTTGCTTGCTTCTCGTTTGTTGATCTGTTTGGGTTATTATGGCCGTTTGGGCACTGTGATTGATGTGAATCATTTGCCACTTATCATTGTGATTGTGTGTGAACATGATAGTAGTTATGTTTCTCTTATTTGTGATATTTATTTGTTGATAGTTCAGTAACTTTATTTGAGGCATCAGGCCCTTTCACTGATTCACAGTTGTCATCCCTTATACTAAAATGAGTTTTGCTAAGGCATTATTGCAATACAAATGTTTAACAACAATAATTACTGGCTAAAAGGTTGAAAAACTTTTATTTCCATATATATGATTCATAGAAGATATAGTATATATATGTGCTTAGGGCACGTGAACCGTAGAATTTGAATTTTATTTGTCAATGGATTCATGTTGCATGGGAATTTGTTTAACATATTAGTGTATGAGAATTGTGGACTGATAGGATTATGGATGAAGATAGTAATCTGCAGTTGCATGTGGTTTCTTTCTCATGTTTGATGGCTCATTTCTTTGCCCTTTGAGAATGAAAATCTCTTGGCTAACCAGTTGAAAGACCTTGTTGTTGTGCTAGGCAAGCATGGCAGAAACTGGGCGCCATGCCTCCTGAAGAAGCAATGGAAAAGTACATTGACATTGTTTCTGAATTGTATCCCACCTGGCTTGATGGTGCTGTCACTGTGAGATCAGAATCACTTAGCTCGTTACCCTCTCTTTTTATTCTTCTGAATCTTATATTTGTTTGCACTAGTCTCATTGTTGTTGTCGTTATACTCCTGTGTATCCTATAGCAGAAGAGAAAAGATGCAAGGAGCAGTGATGCAGGCTCCAAAGCTCCGATGGGACCTGTTTTTAGTACCTTCATTTATGAGGAGGAACCTGGGTCTGAGATGTAAGGATCCTCAAATTTTCCTGATTTAACATTTAACTGCTTCTTATAAAACATTGTTTCTTATCGTCTGCGTAGTTGTATTTTCCCATAAATTTAGTCTTCTAAAGCAAGGATTTGAATGGTCTCTCGTATTTTTTTTTCCGCAGGAAGTTGGATGATATTCATTCCTTTGCACAGGAAGGAGATGAAGAGAAGCTGCTTAAGTGCATTGAGAGTGGTGTCCCTATAAATCTAAAAGGTTTGTGGATGTGAAATTTCTTATATCTCTTTATATTCTTGTTTTGCTGTAATAATCATTGAAAATAAGTTATTAATAGTGTGAATGAGAGTTTTCAATTGCCATCTTAGAAGTTCCTTTTCTGAGAGGGAGGAACACTAACTTGAACTTGAAACTGTTAAGCTGTCAATTTGTATTGAATTTGTTCCTTATTCTGGAAGGTGTGAAAAATTCTGTCAATTATCAAGACCTTTCTTTCAGGTCAAAGTCAAGTTAAAGTGCCTGCCTGCATTTCTGGCCAGCCAATAGACTTTTTGGAATTTTGACGAATTTATTTATTTGGAGTTGAATTACTTCTCTGGCCTCAACGTGATTTTCTCGAAATGTTGCAGATAGTGAGGGTCGTACTCCTTTGCATTGGGCTGTAGATCGAGGCCATTTAAATGTCACAGCGTTGCTTCTGGAACAGAATGCTGATGTTAATGCTAAGGTAGATCGAAATTTTATTTATTGTAGTAGCTTCTGCTAAATCATCTGCTTGATATGACGAAGAAAAAAACAAAAAAGGTGCTACTCATATATATGATTAAACTAGCTAGTGTTACTATTCTTTCTAAAGTTTTGTGGTGTCCAAAATGGAAATGATCTATGATCTCCCATTAGTTCTAAACCTTTTGTAAAACGAAAAGGAACCTTGAATTATTTTAGTAATGGTGAATGTTAGCATCAACTTCTACTACACTTTCCGCACGATAATGCTTATATTTTTCGTCGATTGACTTATGAGGGGTTGTGATGGCCTTCCATTATTTGATACTGCATTCTCTGACATGCTTATGAAAGTTCTATAACAAGTTAAAGAAGCAGAAACAATAAACCGGTTAGTGTTTCTGTCAACCGTTCTCATGCGTGTGTTATAATTACAGGATGATGAAGGTCAAACCGCGTTGCATTATGCCGCATTATGTGAGAGAAATGCTATAGCGGAGTTACTTGTGAAACAAGGTGCTGACATAGAGATTAAGGACAACGAAGGGAACGCTCCCAAGGATGTTTGTGAGCTGAGCTGGCAAGGCGTGGAGCTTGTAAGCTAAAATGATCTGACTAATTAGTAATTTTGTGCTTTTGACCTGTTCGACGAATTAATACTTCCACTTGCTTATATGCCCAGATATAGTACCTTTCATCTTGGTTCAGGGGTTTGTTATTTTCGACCACAGGGCTCTTTTGTTGTATCTCGGTGTTCGATATAATGGTTGTTTCCTTATAATAGTACTTTGGATGGAATTCGTTTGCAAGGAGATTTTGGATTAACTGCAAATAGACATGAAAGTTATAGCAAAAAAAGAACAGTTTAATCTCTTTTATGTTTGTCCATTACAAATATTTTCTCCAATTATGAATGAAAAGTATCTTCTAGTCTTGGTTTCGTAAAGTATATCAACTCGAAACTCGAAACGGAGTTTTTCCATCTATTCGAATATTAAACTTGTATTTATGGTTCTTAAATTTGAATTTTTAGTTGAACAACTTTTGTTATGGTTCCAAAGCTCCCAGTCCTCCGAGCTTATAAAGGCATGAAGTTATTATTAAAGCATTTGTTTTTCTTATTTTATTTAATTAAAAAAAAAAAATTATAAGAAGAGGTTCATGGAAGAATGGTAAAAATCCCACATCTCTTGCACATGGGAATTGAAATACAAATTCACCAAGCATGGGAATACATAAACTCAACACACTATAAATCCTACCAAAAAATAAAAAAAACAAGCTGTGTCTGTCTATAGCCTATCGCTCGCTAAATATCTCTCGTTCGAAAAACGCAACGCTTACAGTTCATCATGGTCATCCTCATCCTCGTCCGTCTTACCTTCAGGGGCACCACCGGACCTCTGGTAAACGGCTGTAATAATCGGATTACAAACAGCTTCCACCTCCTTCAGCTTCTCCTCGTAATCCTCTTTTTCAGCTGACTGATTCTCATCCAACCACTCCAACGCCTCCTTTGTTGCCGTTTCAATCTTCTCCTTCTCGTCAGTCTCCAATTTATCCGCAAGCTTGTCCTTGTCGTTTATCTGGTTCCTCATGTTGTACACGTATGTCTCGAGGCTGTTCCTTGCATCGATTCTCTCCTTCACCTTCTTGTCTTCTTCCGCAAACTCTTCCGCTTCTTTAACCATCCGCTCGATTTCCTCCTGGCTCAGACGCCCTTTCTCGTTTGTGATTGTGATTTTCTCGGATTTTCCGGAGGCCTTGTCCTCAGCTTTCACGTTTAGAATACCGTTTGCGTCTACTTCGAATGTCACTTCAATTTGCGGGATTCCTCTGTTTTATTTAAGAGGCAATAGAATGATATAAATAAGACTTCTAGACAAAAATATTTCTGAAAATTTTTAGTATACTTGTATATAGATAGACAAACCTTGGGGCTGGGGCGATTCCTGTGAGATCGAATTTACCAAGTAATCTACAGTCCTTTGTAAGACTTCTTTCACCCTCGAAAACCTGTCCATTTACAAAATGTTATTGGTTGGTAACATAGGAATGTGATATTTTCAAGTTATAGGAAGAATCGAATAAATTCGACGAGTACCTGAATTGTCACGGTGGTTTGTTGGTCTTGGTAAGTGGTGAAAACTTGGGATTTTGAGGTTGGGATAACAGTGTTTCTTGGGATCAATTTGGTCATCACTCCTCCAACAGTTTCGATGCCGAGTGTCAATGGAGCCACATCCAAGAGAAGAAGATCTGATCATAGCATTGTGTTTCGAGTTAGCAATTGAGAAAGAACAAACAAACAAACAATCAACGGCTGAGAAAAAAACAGTTATAACAAACAGTACCTTTCGTTTCATCACCTCCCTCTCCACTGATGATTCCTCCTTGAACCGCAGCACCATAAGCAACTGCCTCGTCTGGGTTAACACCTTTGTTGGGTTCCTTACCATCGAAGAAATCCTTGAGGAGCTGTTGAATCTTTGGGATTCTGGTGCTTCCTCCAACAAGGACAATTTCATCAATTTGTCGTTTTTCCAAACCGGCATCTTCCATGGCTTTCTTGACGGGGCCCATTGTTTTTCTGAACAGGTCATTGTTCATTTCTTCGAAACGGGCTCTTGTGAGGGGTTCGGATAAATCTACGCCGTCGAATAGAGACTCGATCTCTACTCGGACCTGATGCTGACTGCTCAAGGATCTCTTGGCACGCTCGGCTTCTCTTCTCAGCTTGCCAAGTGCTCTGTGATCCTTGCTGATGTCCTTGCCGTGCTTCTTCTTGATCAATTTGATGAAATATTCCATGATTCTTTGATCAAAATCCTCACCTGCATACAAACATGTTGTGATTAAATGCAATAAAATCTCCAATACCCAATTAAATCATTTATGATACAACAGATAATCCAGTTACCACTATACAGTTCCATGTTTCTATTATGTGTAAATTTGCTTCAATGATACAAAAGCAACTGGGTTGAAATTCTGGAAAGAAAACAATCCTTACCTCCCAAGTGAGTGTCACCATTTGTGGAAAGAACCTCGAAAACACCGTTATCGATAGTCAAGATACTGACATCAAATGTTCCACCACCAAGGTCAAAGACAAGAATGTTCTTTTCACCACCTTTCTTGTCCAAACCATACGCAATCGCTGCTGCTGTTGGTTCGTTAATGATTCTCACAACATTCAGCCCAGCGATTGTGCCAGCATCTTTAGTAGCCTGCCTCTGAGCATCATTGAAGTACGCTGCAGAAGAGAACATTCCAAAAATAAAATCAATAATTACATATTTAAATAACCATACAATTATTCAAAAAAATGCAGGCCAAAAATTTACCAGGGACGGTGACAACAGCATCCTTAATTTTCTTTCCGAGGTAAGCCTCAGCTGTCTCCTTCATCTTGGTCAAAATCATGGCACTGACCTCCTCAGGACTGAAGACCTTGGTCTCCCCATCTCTGATCTTGACTTGTATGTAAGGCTTTCCATCCCTGTTGACAATCTTGTATGGAACAAGCTTCATATCCTTTTGGACTTCTTTATCCTCAAACCTGTTCAGTAGCAAGAATTAAAGAGTCAAAACACTGGAGAGAGAGAGAGAGAGAGAGAGAGAGAGAGAGAGAGAGAGAGAGAGAGAGAGAGAGAGAGAGAGAGAGAGAGAGAGAGAGAGAGAGAGAGATTATTACTTTCTTCCAATTAATCTCTTGACATCAAACACAGTCCTCTCAGGATTAACAGCAAATTGATTCTTTGCCGCCTCACCGATCAACCTCTCGCTGTCGGTGAAACCAACCCACGAGGGGGTGATTCGGTTACCTTGATCATTTGCTATTATTTCAACGTGACCATTTTTGTAAACACCAACACATGAATAAGTTGTACCAAGGTCTATGCCAATAACTGTTCCAACTTTCGGAGCCTCCTCCTCCTCTGCTGCTATCGAAAATGCGAACAAACTTCCTGTTTCAAATAATCAATTGCCCTATTAACACAATTATTCCAACGATTTTGAAGATCACGCGACAAGTTTATTATACAGTAATTGCAGAATTCATAAGTCGACAAATTCACTAATCGTGCAGATGATGCATGCATATGGAGGAAAAAAAATTAAATGAATCTAGAAAAAGGATAACTATTTCAAAAATTTATTTCTAAATAAGCCAGATCTGAAACTATCTACATTGTGAGAGACTCTGATTTCCATTCCTCAACAGATGAAATAAAAAAAAAAAAAAAAAAAAGTATGCATCAATGTATACTAAAAATGCGAAAATATTTGATTTACATAAAGCAAATACAAACTGCAGTTAATCAAGCATTGTTTTTTTATAACTACACCAATATTATTTCATCTCAGGAGAAAAAAAAATGTGCGCAAAAATTTCAAAAGAAACGCTCACCGATCAGAACGAACGCGAAGATGATCGAAGACGCGCGTCTCTTCCACGCAACAGCCATTGCAGCGAAGCTCAACAATTAAATGATTTTGTTCGATTTTCCGCTCTGTTTTGTTTTTCCCTTCTTCCCTTGTATTGTGTGTCTTTGTGTAGAGTTCTGAATCTGATGAGGAACGGTTGGGGAGCGCGAATATATAGCAATTCGGGTGAAAGGTACATTCGTCATCCACTATGACGTGGACCAATCAGAACGCGAGTATGAATCATCTCTGTCGAGTTACGCGCCCTCCTCGGTTTGAATACTAAAGTTGTCGTCACTGGTGCTTGCGTGGGCCAACAGCAGGGAATTGCCGCGTCACTTGTGATGACGTGGACCAATTAAAACTGGCGGATAAACCATGAAGGCCAATATCAGCATATTGGGCCGAATTACATGTCTCGGTTGGTCTGACTTTAACTACGGCCCATACAATTCAATTTTTTTTTGACATATTTAATTAATTAATTATTTAAAATATTTTAAATTAAATATAACAATGACAAATAATTAAAAGACGAGGAAGAGTAAAATAAGTAAATAACAAGGAGAAACTTCGTCAAATGGGGCCCGCATGTTATAAATAATAATACATGGTCGGGCAATAACAGCCAAGCATAAATAAAAATTAGTCACATAGAAACCGCGGGGAATATAAAGAAAATAAATATTATTTGTTTGAAAGGCCAACTTTAGGTATTTTCTCTCTCTAAAACACACAGAAAAACACAACCCTCTTTTCTAAAAACTCCGATTAGGGTTTCCGGGGCGCCGCTTCTGATTTTTATCCGATCGAGAGCGAACTCTACTGTCGATATCTCTGCCGCATCGTATTTATTCATCAGGTAAATTTTATGATACGGTTTTGCATTAATTCCCTTGCTGCTGTTTGGTATGTGTGTTTAATTAATCTAATATAGGTTTTTTCGCCCGAAATCGTTGAATTTGTATATAGTTGTTGATAATTGGGGTAGTTGTGGATCTGCTTGTTTGGTTGATCCGATTGCCCACACTTATTCTTTTAGCTAAGAAATTATGATCTCTTAGTTATTTTGTGTGAACACGCGGAACTGTTAGTTGATGAAGTCCATGTTGATTGAATCAACATGGTATTCTTCTGTATTGTTTTTGTTGTGCGTTTATGTATTGACCTGTTGGCATCAGTCTTCTTGATTTTATTTGCGTTTGTAGAGCTGATTTTATATGTATAACCTGATGCCTTTTGATAGGTTTGAATGCCTTGTTTTTGGATCATTGATGGTAGTGTTGTAATGCTTTGCCATGTTCACATGGAGTAGACGGCATTGAGCAGTTGGGTGTTTATCTATGGAATATACGTTGAATTTGTTTTGATTTATATCTGCTTGTCGTGTCCATAATGGAAACATATGTACTGATATCTGCATAGTCGAATATGATGAGAATTCAACTTCTTTTTTATGTTCAATTGACTGTTATCTTATGGATTTTCGGTCAATGGAAAATAAATACTGTTTCCGCGTGTTTTAGTGAATCTAATCCTCTCTCCGCCTATTTTAGCGAATTAACATGTGCCCTAATGTTTTCAGTTAAAGCTAATTATTCACGTCTATTTTTGTTGGAACTGATACGAACCGTCAAATGTGTTGAATCTTTCTTGGAACGTCATTAGTTTGCTCATTTCATCTGAATCGGTTTGCTTTTGGCTCCCCATTGTCGTGTAATTGATCGTTTACGTTTGATGTTGGCAGATAAATTATGGCTATGGAAGTCACCCAGGTCCTTCTAAGTGCACAATCAGTTGATTCAACCGTAAGGAAGCATGCCGAAGAAACTCTTAAACAGTTCCAGGAGCAAAACCTTCCTGTTTTTCTGTTATCTCTTTCAGCAGAACTTGCTAGTGAGGAGAAGCCAGTTGACAGCCGTAGACTAGCAGGTCTGATTCTTAAAAATGCTCTGGATGCAAAGGAGCAGCACAGAAAGTACGAGCTTGTGCAGAGGTGGTTATCATTGGATGTAGCTGTGAAGAGCCAGATCAGGGCGTACTTGTTACAGACCCTCTCTTCTACTGTATCTGATGCTAGGTCAACTGCATCGCAAGTCATTGCTAAGGTTGCAGGCATTGAACTGCCGCAGAAGCAGTGGCCTGAGCTCATAGGATCCCTCTTGTCAAATGTTCACCAGGTCCCTCCTCATGTTAAGCAAGCTACCCTGGAAACTCTGGGGTATATATGTGAAGAAGTTTCTCCAGACGTTATCGAGCAAGATCAAGTAAATAAGATACTTACGCTTGTGGTTCAAGGCATGAATGCAAACGAAGCTAATATCGATGTCAGGCTTGCTGCAACCCGAGCTTTATACAATGCTCTTGGATTTGCCCAGGCTAACTTTTCCAATGATATGGAGCGGGATTACATCATGAGAGTTGTCTGTGAGGCCACTCTTTCTCCGGAAGTGAAAATTAGACAGGCTTCCTATGAGTGCTTGGTCTCTATTGGATCAACGTATTATGAGAAATTAGCTCCATACATACAAGACATTTTCAACATCACATCCAAGGCTGTTCGGGAAGACGAGGAACAGGTTGCTCTTCAAGCAATTGAATTTTGGAGCTCTATTTGTGATGAGGAAATTGATATTTTGGAAGAGTATGGGGGTGATTTTACAGCAGATTCCGATGTTCCATGCTATTACTTCATCAAGCAGGCACTCCCTGCGCTTGTCCCTTTGTTATTGGAGACACTTCTTAAGCAAGAAGAAGATCAGGATCAGGATGAAGGTGCTTGGAATCTTGCAATGGCTGGTGGAACTTGCCTCGGTTTGGTGGTGCGGACTGTGGGTGATGACATTGTACCACTTGTCATGCCATTTATTGAAGAAAATTTATCAAAAGAGGATTGGAGGCGTAGAGAAGCCGCAACTTATGCATTTGGTTCCATTTTGGAAGGCCCTTCACCTGACAAATTAACCCCTATTGTAAATGTTGCTTTGAATTTCATGCTCACAGCATTGACTAAAGATCCAAGCAGTCACGTGAAGGACACAACTGCCTGGACCCTCGGGAGAATATTCGAATTTCTACATGGTTCAGCAGTGGAGAATCCTATAATTACCCCGTCAAACTGTCAGCAGATAGTCACAGTTCTTCTTGAGAGCATGAAAGATGCCCCAAATGTTGCCGAGAAAGCATGTGGTGCTCTCTATTTTCTAACCCAAGGCTACGAGGATTTGGGCTCAACATCACCATTGACACCTTATTTCCAAGATATTGTCCAGTGCCTTCTTAATGTCACTCATAGAGAAGATGCCGCGGAGTCACGCCTGAGGTCGTCTGCCTACGAGACACTAAATGAAGTAGTGAGGTGTTCAACTGAGGAAACTGCTCGCTTGGTGTTGGAACTTGTTCAGGTCATCATGCAAGAGCTCCACAAGACTCTCGAGGCTCAGAAACTTTCGTCTGATGAGAGAGAGAAACAGAATGAATTACAAGGCCTTCTTTGCGGGTGCTTACAGGTCATCATCCAGAAACTAGGGGTATCAGAAGCCACCAAGTTTGCCTTCATGCAGTACGCAGATCAGATAATGAGTCTTCTTTTAGGAGTTTTTGCCTGTAGAAGTGCCACTGTCCATGAGGAAGCGATGCTTTCCATTGGTGCACTTGCCTATGCAACAGGTCCAAACTTTGCGAAGTACATGCCTGATTTTTACAAGTATTTGGAGATGGGTCTTCAGAATTTTGAGGAATACCAAGTTTGTTCTGTCACTGTTGGTATTGTGGGTGACATCTGCAGGGCATTGGAGGATAAGATTCTGCCTTACTGTGATGGGATAATGACTCAGCTTCTAAAAGACTTGTCGAGCAACCAGTTGCACCGATCTGTGAAGCCTCCAATCTTTTCATGCTTCGGAGACATAGCACTAGCAATTGGCGAGAATTTTGAGAAGTATTTGATGTATGCGATGCCAATGCTGCAGAGTGCTGCAGAGTTGTCTGCTCACACTTCAGGTGCTGATGATGAAATGATTGAATATACTAATCTCTTAAGGAACGGAATCTTAGAGGCATATTCTGGGATATTCCAGGGATTCAAGAACTCTCCCAAAACACAACTCCTGATTCCATATGCACCCCACGCCTTGCAATTCCTGGATAGCATTTACATGGAGAAGGATATGTGAGTGTACTCCTCATCTTATTTATTATTTTGCTTTTTTCTTTGATGTGTTATCTCATTCTGCTGTACATTTGATCTGCAGGGATGATATTGTGATGAAAACTGCTATTGAAGTACTTGGAGATCTAGCAGATACTTTGGGCAGTAATGCCGGTTCTCTGATTCAGCAATCCATGTCATGCAAAGACTTCTTAAATGAATGTTTGTCTTCGGAGGACCACTTGATCAAGGAATCTGCTGAGTGGGCCAGGTTGGCTATTAGCCGTGCTATATCCGTTTAAGGTTGTGTACACGCTCGTGCATATAACTTTTACCTTGCATACATGCATATGGGGTGGGGTGGGGTGGGGTCGGGTCGGGCATGGGCCAGTGTCGGGGTCCGCGTTGTACAACAGTCGTGTCATGACCATTTTCAGACAACATAAGCATACTTGTTCTTGTTGTCAACTAACTCATGCATAAGCATCATCGAGTCGGGTTCTAATTTGGGGTGGGGTGGGGGGTTGGGGGTGGGGGTAGTCGGTGATGGGGGCTTCTCGGATTCATCCTTGACGACCGATAAATGGAAGTGTCGTTGTTGGTGAATGGGCTAAATGGGCAAATTACGCTGGGATGCTTAATCAGGCTTGTTCATAATGTAACAGGCCTGAAGTCAGCTTTGGGGGGCCCACATTGTTGTAAACAAATTTTGATCTCGTGATCCTTGGGAGGTCACAGCTACCCTGCCATTATTTTTTCTTTCATACTCATAATTTTTTTTCCCATCATATTTTTCATGTCAGGTCCGAGTCTTCATAGTCGGTCAGATACAATCTCGTTTCATTTTCCAGTAAAATGGCATGTGGTTGTTGTGTCATCATATTTTTTAGTTAGGACATTACATTTGCATTTTTTTGTTCATCATGGTTAGTCGTTAGGTTTTCACAAGTCATTTTGAGTCGATTTTTGAGGAAGATGCTCTTGCCAGCTATTTTCTGCTGGCACAACAGTTTATTTAATTCCCCTTAAAACATTTCCTTTTGAACATGTAATCTATATTTTGTTTGACTTCTCAAACAGTGGGATATTTTGGATTTTGGGTTTGTCATGAAATTGCGATGACATCGAAGAATAGGATTGAAACACTTGTTGTCAATAGGCAAATGTATTCGTGGCCTCTGGTATTTATCTCTTATCTTATGCTCTGTAAAGTTTATGTTTATAAATCATGGTTCGTTACGACAGCCGGTTTTATGTATTATTTATTGCTTATTTTTACTATAATATTTAAGACAAATTCACTGAGTTTCTACGTCAGTGAATTTATTACAGAATCATCATTCAGTCAAATTATATAAGGCTATCTTTTTTGTTCTCTTTAGTTTTGTTCTCTTTAGTGCTCTGAATAATGGCTCTAAAATATCTCAAACACCTCGAGAAATATCAGTCACATATAGATTTCAATGGGTAGGCCACTGCCAATTTTCGTCTCCTGCGAAATTGATTTATCGAAGTGACGAAAGATGAAAATATGAGGACGAGAGTGCATTACGTGTTACCGATAAATTTCACAATACAAAGAACAATAATAGAAAAACGAAAAACAAAAGTGGTTGTACCTCTTCTCTTTTGGTTCATAGTACATCTAAATAGTTTTAGGTGAAGTTCGTAGTTATCGAAGATCGAAAACAAGGGTTAAAATATATGATGATGACGTACTAAAATAATGGTTATGTTGTACCACGAAAGATGGATGAATAATTTTTTCCACTTGATAAATAAGAGGTCAAAAGCAAGATATATAAATGGAATAAAATAGAAAGACATCTCCACATCCAAGTAAAGTTGGATATTGACAAGTCAATTCGTGGCAACAGTTCTAAAGTGGCTGAATAAGCCATAGCCAGAGCTTCACTTGTACTACAGTACTCTGCATACTAACTTTCTCACTGTAACAACTCTATGTATGTATGTATGTATGTATGTATACCATTATATAAATACGAGTAATAGTAAAATATTTTGGTGAAACTTCGTTTTTAAATAAGCCCACGAGTTACGCTCGTGCATAGTTTTGAGTTTGCTATCAGCACGCAATATCTATCGACAGATTTTAGACGACCGGTGGAATAAAAAATGGGAAGAAAAGTAGATTGACTTGAAAAAAGAAAAAAAGGGTGATATTTAATTTAAAAAGTGAATTCATGTAAAGCTTGTTGTCCACATGCATGTTTACAATATATGAATGTGTGTCACTGTGTGGGTTCTATATATCTTGATGTAACATGCATATATATATATATGTATATTGTGAAGAAGTTGACTTGCATTTTGGTAATGCATTCCCATCATCTTTTTTGGTGGGTGGGTGGCTGTGTAGCACCAGAACCATACACTTTTCATGCCCATTTTTTTGTGCTTATATAACCCCCCACCTTTCTTTTTTCTTCCCCCACATGCTTCCCTCCCAATTCTTTCTAGAAAAAAAAAACACTAGTTTGAATTCAATTAATTATTTGATAATTATACAGTCAACCGCGATTAATTAATTATGAGTACGAGGATAAAGGGTTCTCTTGTATTCCTCTTCTTCCTACTCATGTTCCTCCTATCTTCAGGTATTCATCTCTCTCTCTATATATATATATACATTGGTTAGTATAATGTAGAAATGAAATTTGTTTCCTGGTATAGTTGCTTATTATCTTCTGTATTGTAGGCATAATTAATCTCTATGGCGTTGGAACCAACCCTCTCCACTTGCTTCCCGAGGTACATATACTATCGTTCTCTCTCTCTCTCTCTCTCTATATATTATATATACATATGTATGTGTACTAATATTGGATGCGCGTTTCGTTTCGTTATTAAGGGAGAAGTGAGAGCAAAAACAAGAAAACTAATGGGGTTTGTCCAAGTATTAGACTACGATTACGCAGGCCCTAACCCAAAGCATGACCCAAGAGGGAAGAGAGGTGGTGGTGGTGGCGGCGGCAGCAAAAATCCATGATTTTCTAATAATTATTTTATTAGTATTAATTATTCTACTTGCTGGATTGAAGTAGTTATAATTGTGAAGTTTTGGACCATATCATATGCTATATTTTTATCTACCAGTAACATATAACAAATTAATGCTACTAGTATCATGTACTGTGTAATAGAAGCCTTGGTGCTTCAAATCTCTGCTAATTTCTACCTTATTTATCTTTAATTAGGGAATATAATAAAGTTCTTTTTTTTATTAATGTATTGTTAACTAGTTGCAGAGTAAAATATGCAGCAGAGAAATAAAGTAGATTAATCAGTTGTTGTTTTGCTGAAGGAGGAATAAAATTGAGAAATTATATTGTTCTTGTGCATGTATGATTTAATATGCATATCCCTTTACACAAAGTACATTTACCAAATTAAATTAATGCTAATCAATTAAATTATATTCATGTATAGTAGTTACTGTTGAGATAAGGCATGCTGCCATTTCTAGGTTGTTTCTCTCCACTTCATATTTTTGTCCTAAATCCATCACATCAATTTCACAAGCACTAGTAGTAGTGTATACCATTTGTTATCTGATAAGGGGTTTCAGGCTCAGAACTCAACATACATAATTTTACTAATTTTTGCAAATTAAATGAAATTTGCCCGGCTAATTCTGGGGGCAAAACGGTCTTTTCCTTGGTTCGTTTCTCGGGTTAAATTCAAACCATGATTCAAATGGAACGTCACGAGCCATCCTTATCACAAACTTTCGGCTTTCCCCTTTTTCTTTAACTAGTGGGGATTGAGGAAGATATATATGAATTAAGCATTACTGAAGCTTCTCCAAACCAAAAATTTAGACCACTCAATAATGCATATGGGGGAATAAATAGTATATAGATAGATATTTAAATAGTGACACAGTAAGTCAACAATTTTCGTCCGAAGTCGATTACATCTCTAACGAAATACACGTAATATAGTATCGATCGTTCATTCACACAAAAATAACGAACACATTCAATTTTTGTCCGAAGCCGATTTCACCTGGATGTATGTAGCGTATATATTTGATCTAGTTTCATCCAACAAAATAACGAAGTAGTTTATTACATCACGATATCCGTAATCTCCACTAATCGGAATAAAACACGAAAATCTTCCTCAAATAGCACATACAAGAAACCTCTCGCAATTCAAGCACACTTCCACACAGAGTAACCCCATATAAAATTCATCAGAAAATTGTTCTAATCGTAGAGTTCGTTTCTTAGGTAACCGGGACCCGGTTTAAACGGGTCCTCTTCTATGTATCCATCGGTTCGGTAATATCCAGCATCGTTCATACGATTACTGAGTACATGAAGAATTGCCTTTTTGCTACCGTATTCATCGCGGTTATTCTCTACATATTGTTTTGCCTCCGCCGCAATTTCATTAACGAAAGCGAACCTGTTATCTTCGGAGAGTAATAACCTCTCGATGTCCATTGTGAGTTGCTTTCCAGTATCTCGTATCTTCCTCACCTGCTCCTCGAGAAACGGAACTCTTTCCATATGGTAGTCCAATATATCATCCTTCTTTGTCTGAAAAAATCGATATTTTTGATACGTAAAGATGGACCGAAATAATTACGCATAACAAATTTTACAAGATTAAACCAAATTCAGGATAGGCATTCAACAAAATCCAACCCAAAATCGATTCTTGATCTACCTAGTGAAAACATGATCACTTTTGTTTGGGCTCTGAAGTTGAAGGTAAATATTTGGCCCTTTTCTTACGATTCTCCGATAATAACTCGAAATTTTCCTACTTTAGTATTTACTGTTTTCAAACAAATCAAATAGCATTTTTTTTTCCAAATTAGAGTTCTTGGTTATGATATTCCTTCTTCTAACCCTTAATTATATCCCTCAGCCAAACAATCCCTAATCTCTATAATTGGAAATAATTAGCTCAAATTCAGCATTTTTTTTTTTTTTTGAGTAAATTCAAGTCCATTACAAGGGGAAGTAGGGGAGGGGGGACTCGAACCCTAGACCGTTACTCTATTGGTAAAGGCTAGGTAACAACTCTCCTAATGAGGGTTGGTGCTCAAATTCAGCATTTGAACTTTAGAAAACGAATATCAATATCCCTCAGCCTATTTATCCGGACAAAAAAAAAAAAAAAAAATCAACACCGAATTTGACTGGGTACAACACATTACACATAAAATTAGGGTTCCAAAATCATACCAATTTTCTCCGCCTCCACACTCGCCTATTGCCACGTCCTGAATTCCCCGAGTTTGAATTATCCTGTCAAATCAAATAACAAAGCGAAAATAATGAATTATATAAAACTCATGTGGTGAAATAAATAAATAAATAAAAATCAAACCTGTGACTTCATAGCACAATTTGTCCGCCATTGATTTTGAGCTTTCACTTCGATTTTCTGCAAATGAATCTTAAAAAATAAGAACGCATTTATTTTGAAAAAACCAAAAAAAACAATGAGCAAAATATAATAAAATAGTGAAGGAAAAACGAAAGGAAAATGAAGAGCATAATTACAGGGAAACAGTGGGAAAGTGAAAAGCCATTGAACGTAGAAGCAGAGAGCACAACCATTGCAGCGAGCTCAACTCTCTGATGAGATAACTTCCTTTTTTCTTTTATTTCCGGAATTTTTTTTTGGGCCAATCAGAACATAAACCTAATTTGGGCTCAACTCTATTCAATGTGAACGGCCCGTTTGGATTCAGAATTCAAATCAATGGATGTATCGGGTCGGGTCGGGTCGGGTCGGGTTTTGATTTGACTTGTATTCTATTATTTGACAAAAATTGAGGTTGCGTGTGCGAATTAATATCATGTATTTTAGCTGGTTGAACACTCGTGAATAGATTATAGAATCTTAAATGCTATTCATAGAACATAATTTACTGTATTGCAGTGCGACTTTATTTTATTTGTAATTTTTCATAGAAAAAAATCACAATTCTCTCAAATTCTTTCCCAACTATATTTCGTGCATGGATATTTCGTATTTACTAACACGGAATGGATGAAGGCATTTCGTGCAAAGAAGCACGTAATAGTATTTTTTTACGATACACAAAACCATAAATTTATGTTTTTTTATGCATTTCGTGTAGTATTGCACGAAATGAAACACTGCATTTCGTGCAATACTACACAAAATGCATAAAAAATGAAAATTCGATAAAAAAAATATGTTCTTTATCTCAAAATTGAAGTAGGTTTCGTCCATATTGATAATTATTGTGTTCTAATTGATATTATTGGAAAAATTTGACCATTTGGAAAGTTCTAAAATTCGAAAGTTGAGAGAATTTGGAAAAAAATTAAAGAAATTCTTGACAAATGAATTATTTCGCACTGTAACTGAAAAACAATGCACTATGAATAGTAAACCCCTTATAGAATATAGATCAAAATGATGAGCAATGACGTAATTATTATATTTTTCCAATTTTGCTTTTTATTAATGGAGGGGAATTCAAATATTCCATATTGGTGTAAAATTTTATATTATTAGTTAGTTGCGTATTATATTTTCTACAAAAAAGAAAAAAACAATTTCCAAACGATATATTGCAACTCATTCTTATATGGGGTAATATGCCAGGAGCCCCTCAAACGAAACTTAGTTTGAACTAAATGACAAGTTCAAATCAAATCTCTTAATTAAATCCCTAGTTTAAAATCATATATGAGCCACATCCTTAATTTTTTTATTATTCCTATTTTGCCCTTATACCCTAAATCATATAACTTATATATTTACGTTTCTTTAATTCAGATTTATTTTTCTTCTTTTTATTTTTTTATTTCTCACGTTCTCTCTCCCTCTCCATCTCCCCTCTCACGATCTCTCTCCCTCTCCATCTTCTCTCTCACGTTTCCCCCCTCTCTCTCTATCGTTTTTTTTTTCTCTTTATCTGCCTTTTCTCTCATCTCTTTAGATCTCTCTTTTTCTCCACTAGAAGCACGAATCGAAGGCCGTCGCCGGCGGTGGCAGGAGAGGAACCAGCAACGGTGGTGGAGGCGCGATGGCAAGGGCTGTGCGGCGATGGGTGGGCCGAGGTCGTGGTGGAGGCTTGGGCTGCAGGGGCTGTGCGGCGGTGGGTGGGCCGGGGTCTTTGTGGAGGCGGGGGCTGGGGTTGTGCGGCGGTGGGTGGGCCGGGGTCGTGGTGGAGGCGGGGGCTGCAGGGCTGTGCGACGGAGGTTTGCAGGGGCTGTGCGGCGGCGGTGTTGGGCCGGATCTAGGGTTGGTGGGGGCGGAGTTAGGGTTTGGTGAGGCGAATCCAAGTTTTTTCGATTTTGATATCTATAGATGTCTATGAGTTTCTATGAGTGTCTGACGGCTGGCGGCTAGGATTCAAAGAAGGCTTTAGGGTTTCAAATGAGGATTTAGGGTTTCAAGATGTCTGTGGATGACTATGGATTACTACGGTTTCTATGGGTGTCTGCAATGACTACGGCCGGAAAAAAAATTAAAAAGATCATAATTTTCAATATTATGTACCAAAAAAAAAGATTCTTAATGAGAAAAAAAAAAAAAAAAGGATAGACATATTATACGTAAAAAAAAATAACAAAAATTGTGGATGCAAATTAAAAATGTTAAATAATACCATAGTACATCATAGAATATTTATAATTTGACTTAATTTTCGAATTTACAAAAATGTTGGATGCAAATTAAAAATGTTAAATAATACCATAGTACATCATAGAATATTTATAATTTGACTTAATTTTCGAATTTGTGAATGGAGGGGTATTTTTGGAATGAATTTTGATAAAGGATGTGAAACAAATTTTAATTAGGACTGTCATTTAGTTCTAATAAAGTTTGTCACCAGGGACTTATATCTTAAGACCCCATCTTATATTTTATTGTATATGAAAAAAAGTAATTAATGAAAAGGATTTAAAATATTTAAATGCAACAAATTAGTGCGTATACGGTATATGAATGAGATGGGCCCACCTAAAAGATAAACATCATTTGGGCAGTTGGGCTCAACACTATTGAATCTAAACGGCCCATTTAGGATGAAGCATTCGTAGCAATTATATTTTTAGTATAAATTATGGCAACCATCTTAGCCAATATTAAATTATCAAATAGCCCTTCATATTTTGATAACTATAATAACAATTAACTACGAATTTTCTTACACAGTCAAATATAGGAGAATCTTTTACATTATATGAATTTTTCTCTACTTTGTATACTTTTTACAGCATTCAAGCTATGTATTTAAAACAAGATGATCGTAAAATGTGTTGTAAATATCAGATTGTGATGCATCAAAAAAATATTTTTTTGGCACAAAACAAGTACAAACTGAACATTTCACGGAATCTAAAATATTCTGTTTAATTTGACACCATAAGAGTGGACGTGCAAAAAAATCATAATTAATAGGTTGTTATAATTACCCAAACAATTCAGGATTTTTTTCGTAATTTTATCTTGCCTTATGGGTGAGTCGTGACCGTAATTTACCCCATATATACGTACACATTCAACACTCAATACTTTAAATACCAACATTTGTCATGCTAGATTGATCACACTAAGGAAAAAAAAAATTGGATTATGAAAAGATAATTATAATGAAATATAAATGCAACAAAATTTAGTATAGATAAATACTAGTAATAAGATTTCTTTTCAATCATATCCAATTGAGTTAAAAGTTGAATGATTACAAGTTAAGTAGTGAGTTAGATACTTTGCTTTATCTTTAAATGCTACTACTTTATTACTCATTTGAGATTAAATTAATTAATAAATTATGGATTATATAAGTGCTAAACTAAATATTTGAATGGTTGAGAAAAAAAATACAACATACATAATTAACTCTTAGAAATTACATTAAACACTTTGAAATAAACAATAGTGACATTTTCACCCCTTATAAAACGACGACGTATAACCGCATGGTGTAAAGTGCTGACGCGAAAAATTGGGGTGTACCTCAATGAACACCCATCCACGTTATCATGTGTGTGTGTACTCACATCTGGCTACAAATTTACACACAGTACACGCACTAACAGAACAAATAAATCTGGACAGATAAAAAAAAAAAAAAAAGCAAAAAAGCAAAAATATAGCGCAGTAAATTCAAAGTCTGCAAGATCACAAAATATTCCGAATCACATGAGCTCTGCTGTTAGAAGCTCAGAACTCAACGAAGAAACAGTGAATCTTTTGGCATTTGCAGAATTTAGTGGGGGAAGAAGTTCGGGAGGATAACTCGATTTGAATATAAACCCTAATTTTCCTTGCCTGTGGGCTTGATTTTGACAATTTCCCCTGAATTTTGGACACTGGACATCTCTTCATTTTTTGGGTTATGGTCAGATCGAGATCTAAGAGATACTTTTATGACCAGGTCTATGAATCTGAAAACTTACACCCGAGGAGCAAACCGAGTTACGGCAATAATTCACACGGCAGCGCCGGTGGTGACGGTGGTGGTGGAGGTCACCATTATGGTCCAAGTTACAACGCGGCGCTCCTCTTCCGGGGA